GTGATTAGTTTGTGCAAAGGCCCTGGGGCAGAGAGGGCTTCCTCACCCAGGAGCTGAAAGACAGTTGCTATGGCTTTAGAAGAGAGAGGGCAGAGGGGACTGGGGGCAGGGGGTGTGTGCAAGGTGGGGCTGGGGTCAGAGGGCCTTCTGAATCAGAAAAGAGAATTGGATTTTACCCTCCGTGCAGGGGAAGCGCTTGGAGGGTTCTTAGAGAAACATGGTGAGAGTCAGAGATGTTCACCCCTCCCTCCCCATCCAGAGACACACACAGCATCATAGGTGGCAGGACCAGGGCTAGGCCAGACGTCCCGCTTTTGGCGGGACAGTCCCGATCTTTAACAATTTGTCCCGCATCCCAAGGCGTTTTTAAAAAGTCCAAAAGATTTAAAAGAATCTTTCCAAAAAATCGGGACTTTTTTAAAATGCTGCGGGACTCGGGACAAATTGTTGAAAATCGGAACTGTCCCGCCAAAAGCGGGACGTCTGGTCACCTTACTAAGGGGAAATCAGGAAAGCATTAGGATGCACAATTTAAGAAGACTCTCACTCCTGGATCTGTGTCAGCTGCTGATTCTCAGCGGCCCCAGGCCCCGCATGGAAGGCAGGGCCCCCCGATCTGCCCTGGCAGCTGGAGTAGGAGAAGGGGGAAACTTACTTTGTGCTCCATTCTGCGGGGACAGGCTGCAGCCTCTGGTTCCCACTGGGCTGGGGACTTCATGCCTGACCCCACTCAGCTTTGTGAAGAAGAGGTGACCTGGGCCAGGTCCCCCTCTGGCGCACAGGTCCCCTCCAGCGAGGGGTCAGCAGTTGGTCTCGTCAGCTGAGCCACAGCAAGGCAAAGCTATAGGGCATTCTGACACGTGTCGTCCCCTAGCCTAGTCCCATGGTCGGCAAACTGCGGCTTGCGAGCCACATGCGGCTCTTTGGTCCTTTGGGTGTGGCTCTTCCACAAAACACCACGGCCTGGGCGAGTCTATTGTGAAGAAGTGGCGTTAGAAGAAATTTTAAAAATGTGGCTCTTAATAGAAATTTCAATCGTTGTACTGCTGACTCATGAGTTTGCCAACCACTGGCCTAGTGGACTTACACCTTCTTAGCCCAGCAGGTCAGAAGGGGCTGGACACCCCACCACCCTACCACCCCAACCCAGATCACTGCTTCTCGGTCTTCACCTCACACCGGAGGGAGCCCAGGCTTCCTTCCCTGGGGCAGGAAGCTCAGAGAGACACCTCCCACCCCCGGGGCCCAGCCGCCAGCTCTGTGGCCTCAAGACTCCGTTGCTCCTTAACCAGTTTAACCAGGAGCACCTGGCTTGCCCACGGGCCCCGAGACCACAAGGTGATCCGGCTCAGGCCAGGGATGTTTATTTTCAGTCGTTGGTATGGCCTTGTCCTTGACCTTTTGGGCATTAAACTTGGCGGGACAACAGAACAAAGACACAGGTGCCCAAGACCCACCCGGGATGGGTCTGCTGCGTCGGAAGTGGGGGTGAAGGCCTCGAATCTCTCCTTCAACAATCAGCCAAGTGATCCGGGAAGCAGACAAGTTAGCTCGCCTTAAGGAGACTCAGTGGTGGCTCATTGATATCCTCGCCAGGGCACAGGAGGGTGGGCACAAACAAGGAACCCAGCCGAGGCCAGTGACCAGCCCAAGGTCACACAGCCAGTAAGGAGCACAGCTGCCAATCAACCCTGGCTGGAAACCCGAGCTTCTGGGCCGGCCGTGCTTCGGAGGGGAGCAAAAGTCCAGGGGCTGCCGAAGCCAGTTTTGCTCAGTGGATGGAGCATCGGCCTACGGACTGAAAGGTCCCGGGTTCGATTCCAGCCAAGGGTATGTAACTTGGTTGCGGGCACATCTCCAGTAGGGGATGTGCAAGAGGCAGCTGATCGAAGTTTCTAACTCTCTATCCCTCTCTCTTCCTCTGTGTAAAAAATCAATTATATATATATATATATATATATATATATATATATATATATATATTTAAAAAGTCTAGAGGCTTAGGGAGAAAGGGGTGAAAGTGTTCTAAAACTGATAGAACAGGGAGGGGTGCACAGTTCGTGAACTAAAAGCCATAGCTTTGTGCGCTTACACGGGTAAGTCATGTGGTATAGGAGCGAGATCTCAATAACGCTGTTTAAGGAGAACATATTTGCAGGCACAGGTGGCTTGCCTAGTTGTCCGATGGCTCTCCTGCCTGCCGGCGGGTGGGAGGGGCATTTGAAGGCCGGCGACCTTGATCGCCAGGTAAGATGTTTCCACTGTGAGCTCCCTTGCTGCCTTAGCTTCCTCTCACGGCAGGAGTGGGGCCCTCGGGACCCCCCCCCCCCCATCCTCACCTCCTCAGCCCATTTCCATCCCAACAACACAGATGTCACCAACACACACAGGAACCCAAAGGACCACTCCCACGCTTCTTCCTTACGATCGCACTTCACACGTTTATTGTTAATTTTCTTCACATGGCAGATACACAACTGTCTCCCTGGGAGGTCCGAACGAACCCACACTCCTGGGCTCCCACGGCCCCCTCCTCCTGAAGCTCTGAGCAGATGTCCTGCCCGTCTCGGGGGTGGACAGCTGACCAGCACGTTTGCACATGCGACAGAGGAGTGGCCCCCAACCTCCCACCCCCCACCCCACAACATTCCCAGGATTTTTTCCATTTGGCTGAAGGTGACCTCCAAGGTATGGGGTTCCTAAGCCTTCCCCCGCTGCTGAATGGGGAAAAACCCTCAGGAATGGAGAGGCTGGGTGTAAAGTCCAGTGAGTGAGCGTTGACATCGTATCATTTAGATAAGGAACAGCCACGGATTTTCATGCTCCGGAGGGTGAGTTTCGGAAGCGGGCAGAAGGATTCCTTCCCGTTTGGGAACATTTAACACAAACAGCGGTTGTTAGCCGGGTGGGATTTAGGAGAGCTGGGACGCAGGCCAACGGTCAGTGTTTTCCTGCCTGCCCATGTGAGGATCTCTCGAGAACTTTCTCCGGGACCACTGTCAGAGCCCGCGCTGCAGCCGGTCGACTGAGTCATTAAATAACACAAGTTATAAAACTTTAAAAACGGGGCATTTACAGTCGGGGACATAAATACGTGCTTTGAAAAGTGTCTACGTACATATTTACACAGAGTTGCAAGATCAACCATAGTAGCCCTGAAAAAAAAAAAAGTCCCTTTTTCCTGTGTGTGACCACACGTCCCCCGGTCCCCTCCCTGCGCTCTGGGCTGGACACGTCGCTATTGGGAACGGGGCCGAGGAGCAGGCGGGAGGGGGCTCGGGCATCCTCGTCTGGGGTCTGCCCCAAAGGCACCAAACCCAGCTCCCGCACCGGGTCCCAACTCCTAGCTCTGCTCGACCGCCCTCCCCGAGGCCCGGCCTGTCCTGCCAGAGCAGGGGCCCCTCCCGCGACTGCCGGCCGGTGATGGAGAACTTCCAGAAATCTCTCTTCCTCCCCGCCCCACCTTGGCTTTTTCATGTTCCACCTGCACTTGCATGTCCCAATTTCTACTTGTTTCCCTCTGCAGCTCACTGGAGAAGCTCACACACACACTGTGCTGCTGGTCCCAACGAGGGATGTGGAGGGGCTCCATGGGGACACAGGACACCACCCCTTGCCCCCGCCGCCTGTCCCCACCACCCCGCTTCTCCCCTGGAGGAACCCCATCCATACAAGGGGACAATGGCTTCCTCCCGCTGCACATGGACTAACCGCAACTTCAAATCTGGAAGTGACTCAAGCTCGACAGCTCAGGCCGCCGGGCCAAGAAGGTTTTCCAAGTGTGCGGGCCAAGGGGCAGCCGGCGAGGCTCCGGCCTGTCTGCAGCCGCCGGTTCCCAGAGATCGCGAGGGACGGGGCGGAGGGCATGAGGGCGGGGGGCCAGGGCGGCGGGATGGGTAGCGCGGCCCCCTCCTGAAGGTCTTCCTCGGACACGCCCGGAGCTGACCCCCGGGCCAGACCAAGGTCCCCGCCGTGGAGAAGGACAACTCGGGAAGCAGAAAGCAGGATCGAGGAGCTCTTGGAAAATTGCATAGTTGAAGAGGTCCCGCCCCTGCGGGAAGGCCGAGCTGCGGAGCATGCTCCTCGGTGTGGAATCAGCTGGTGCCCTGCCTCCCCAGGGTTCTGGAGACCACACGCTGGCAGGCAGGCTCACACGTGCACGCTCACCCGTGCACGCTCACCCGTGCACGCTCACACACTTTCTCTCACAGGCTCCAGCACTGGAACAGGTCACTGCTCCCTGCAGGGCGGAAGGCCAGTCCCTTTGGCTTCTCTGATTCCAGGTCACTTCAGGTGCTGAGGAGACAAAAAGGAAAGAACAATAACGGTGGCTGCTTATCCAGGGCCACGGGCTGCTCCAGCCTTCTCCTGCTGCATCTTTGTGAGTTAGCCGTTTGCTGGAGGGCAGCACCCATCCAGAGGAGAGTGAAGCGTAGTGAGTTTGCACAGGGCACACACCTGCGTAACCAGGAAGCAGAACGGGAGGCCCAAGCTCCCATGGGCCCGGGGCCCTGCCCCCCTTTTAGGATAACCACTAGCACTCATCCCCAGAATGACCACTATCCTGACCTCTGGCATCACGCTAGTAGATAGATTGCCCCCATTTTTTTTTCCACTTAAATGAAATGAATCAGTGCCCATCCTATGTGCCTGGCTTCTGTGACTGAACGTATCTGCAAGCTCGTGCTGTGGATTTTCACTCTCCTCCTGTGGAGTCTAGCCTAGGCTACTGCCAGTGCAGGTGCGGGAGTTTGGGGCCATCACGCATGTCGCTGGGATATTCTTACATGGTCTAAATGTCACGTATGGTGCACAGGTGCACATGTTTATGCAGAAGTGCTGGGAGTAAGGTGTCTGCCACAAGCCACCATGCCCCCCCCCCTTTCCTCTCCTTCCTAGACACCCCAAGCCCCAAGCCCAGCCTCCCTCCCCGCAAAGCCACCAAAAGGATCCAGAAGCTGCTCCCCCTCTTCACACCTGTCAGGGAGCAGGTGAAGCTTCTACTCTTTGAAGAGGGGTCCTTGGAGCTGAGCTGTGGCCGTGGCCTTGACACTCCGGCACTGCCTGGTGATGTACGGGGCGGCAGGCGTGGGGCCTCGGGTCGCCAGGCGGAGGCTGTAGCTGTGCAGAGAGAAACAACATGCCATCACCAGAGGTTACACACCAGCCAGGTGGCCCCTGGAGGCGGGGGGTGGGCCCCACCTCTCCGGCCCCCGGAGGCCAATGGGCTGTGAGCTTTGATACAAGCCTATGAGCTCCCTGGTTCTGCCCACCACCGTCCTTCCCCCACAGGTGGCGCTAGCAGCAGCGACCACCTGTGGGCTCTGAGACACAACATGGTGCTGTTCCCTCCAAGACAACCTGGGGAGGTGTGTAGTGCCCAGTTACCTCCATCGCCTGTGGTGGGGACAGGAGGGAGGCCTGGTCCACGCCAGGCTGTTCACTGTGCACCTGACCTCTGCCCTGGCCCCACTTTCATGTCAGGAATCACAGAGGGGGTGTGAACCGGGATCCCGTTTGCTACTACAGCCCATTAAATTGGACTTGGTTTTTCAGGAAAGCTTTTCTTTTTTTTTTTAATTAAAATAAAAATAATCTCGTTATCCCTCCCCTTCCTTCACCCAGCTAACCCGTACTCATCTTTCAGGTCCTAGCCGGCATACCACCTCCTCCAGGAAGCCTTCCCTCTTCATCCCTCCTCCCGGCTCCCCCGGCCCCTCGCCTTCCCCATCACAGAGCCTGTTACACTGAGTCACAACCGCAGGACAATGAGTCTGCCCCCTCCCGAGCCGTGACCCCAAGGTCAGGGCCTGGGTTTTGTGTATTGCTGCACCTCCTGCTCGGCATGACAAAAACAAGTATGTGTTGGGCAGGAGCGACTCTGTGCTAAGCATTTTCTGTGTGTCTCATTCTTCATAGAACCTTCCCCGGAGGATACTGTATGTCCCTCGTTTACAGAGGGGGAAACAGAGGCACAGGGACTGGTCCCAGGTCCCAGGTCTGTCCCCTTGAGGCGGAAGAGCAGGGCCTCAGGCGAGGAGAGGCGGGGTGTTGGCAGGGAGCAAGAGACGGGGACACGCTGAGACAGCGGGGTGCACGGGAGGGGTCCTCAGCCAGGGCACGCGGCTGCAGAGTCGGGAGACATTTCTGGCTGTCACATCTGGGGGAGGGAGGATGCTACTGGCATCTAGTGGGCGGGGCTGGATGCTGCTACACCTCCTCCGATACACAGGGAGGAAGGATGATGCAGCCCCCTAGGTTAACAGCGCCCCCTTGACAAGGAAGCCCTCAATAACCATCTGTTAAGGCAAATCTTATATAATAAAAGGGTGATATGCAAATTGAATGTCACTCCAACACAAGATGGCCACCCCCATCTGGACTCAAGATGGCTGCCACAAGATGGCCAGTAGGGGAGGGCAGTTTGGGGAATCAGGCCTGCAGGGGAGGGCAGTTAGGAGTGACTGGGCCGGCAGAAGAAGGCAGTTGGGGGGGGGAGGGGACCAGGACTGCTGGGGAGGGCAGTTGGGGGCAACCAGGCTAGCAGGGGAGGGCATTTAGGGGTGACTGGGCTGCAGGATAGGGCACTTGGGATAAATCGGGCTGGCAGGGGAACAGTTAGACATTGATCAGGCTGGCAGGGGAGTGGTTAGGGGTGATCAGGCTGGCAGGCAGAAGCGGTTAGGGACAGTCAGGCAGGCATACGAGCAGTTGGGAGCCAGCTGTCCTGGATTGTGAGAGGGATGTCCGAATGTCCATTTAGGCCCGATCACACAGGGCCCAGATTGGAGAAGGTGCAAGCTGGGCTGATGGACACACCCCCACTCCGTGCACGAATTTCATGCACCGGGCCTCTAGTGAATGTGTAGACACAAGACTAAGCCAGTGGCCTCAGGAGCCCCGCCCTGCTCCGTGTTCTTGCTCAAATGCATCCTCTCAGGGAGCTCCCCACCATCACCTGAAACTCCAGCTCCACAGTGCATTTTATAGCCCCCCCACATCCCCCCAACCCCTTCACCCGGGATTTTACATCCCACCGTGCCAGCTACCCACAGTCAGTCATGGTCTGATAAGATTAAACGGAAAACCCCAGAAATGCACGGTCTCATTTTAAAACGGCGCCGTCCTGAGCAGCGGGCCTGCAGTCCCCGCTCCAACCCACCTCGGCGCATGGCCCCCGCCCAGCCTGTCCTGCTGTGAGTCCAGCACAACAAGATGTCTTGAAAGAGACCCCCTTCGCGGAGCTGCTGGGATAGCATGCTGTTACAACAGTCCTACGTTAGCAGTTATTGGTGCTCACAGCTGCCCGTGCCCTGGTTATAAGTTACACTTTATCACAAGGACACATGGACAGGGAAAACATAGGGTTGGGCCTGGTGCCCTGCAGGCCACTTCAGTGAGCGACACAGAGGCCACCTCGCCGTCCGCCTGTGACTGCGCAGAGAGGAACGTGCCGTTTCGGGAGAGTCCGGCTCCCAGGGGGCCACAGTCCCGGTCACGGGTTCTGGCAAAGGAGATGTCCCAATGTGCTGCCCTACACTCGCCAAACAAAACTGAAGCAGCAGCAAGGACGGCCAGGCCTGGGAGAAGATGACACTCAGAAGGGTCCTGGGAGTCCCAATCCGAGGGCAACAAGGACCCCGAAGGATCTAAGAGCCGGAGTTTGCCGGCCTGGAGCTTCTCACAGGCGAATGAGCCCTGAGGAGAGGAGACCCTCACCCCCAGGGGTCTTCCTGGAACTCCGATGTCACAGGAGCTGGTGACATCACAGAGGGGCCACCATACACCAGAGCCCTCATCTCCAGGGCTGCCCAGGGGCAGGGGCAGCTGGCCAGGGAGATGTACGCACTAAAGATGGGCCAAGTGCCCGTCACTGGACAGAGAACAGACCGGTGGGCAGAGAACAGAATGGCATGAAGAGGCAGTTTCCAGAGGGAGCCGAGGCCGTGGAGATGACAAGATGCCGACCGCTTGTCCGGGAAGAGCTTGCTAGCACAGGGGCCTGGGACAGGCGCCGGCTGCGTGGGGCCTGCAGGTGAGGGAGTGTGACCGGGGTGAGAACTGCCCCCAATTCCTGGGCAGTGGGGGGACACAGCCCGGCCACCCCACCTCCTGAGAGCCTCCCTCTCCCCCTCTCAGAGCGGCTCATGGCAGCCCCCAGAGGGATGACAGCCACCATCCCTCTGCTGTGACACTGGAGACCCAGCGGAGAGCCCCGGGTCTCAGCCCCCTTTTCGTCCTGGCAGACAGAAAGCAAATAAAGGAGCGTGTGGCACTCAGAGGGCAGGGATCACTGTGGGGAGAAAGGAAGCAGAGGGGGCGGCTCAGAGGGGGCAGTGGGGGGAGGGCTGCAAAGTGGAGGAGGAAGACCTCACAGATGCGCCAAGGCCAGAAGGAGGTGGGCAAGGGACCCACGTGGACACCTGGACCTCGTGTGCTCCAGGCCGTGTGAGCTGCACGTGCAAAGGCCCCGGGGTGAGACTTGCCTGGGGTGTCGGAGGGAAGATGGGGCAGCGGGAGGGGCTGGTAGGCAGGGAGCCAGGTGGTCCTTCTGGGCAGAGGAGTGGCCTGCCCTGCCGTGGCCACCATGTCGGGCGCAGCCTGCAGGATGGCAAGAGTGGGATGGAGGAGACCAGTGAGGGGGCGACTGCCGGCCTCCAGGTGAGAGATGATGGCAGCGTGGACCTGGGGCCACTGAGGAGGGGGGGCTGTGAGAAGTGGCTAGATGCAGACACTTTTATCAGGGCCACAGGGGCTGGGGCAGAGATGAGAAAACGACCAAAGTCTAGATGGATTCCGTTTCACTGAGCTGGGGAAGACAGCAGGATGAGAACGTGGCTTCTTGGGGGGTCCGCTTTGGAAGGACTAAATCTGAGATGGTGTTAGATATCCAGGGAGAAAATCAGGGGCAGGATTCAGAGACTCAGCCGCACAGATTTGGGTAAAGGGGGCACAGGAGAGACAGGGTTTGGGCAGGGAGGAGCTGCCAGTCCCCGGATGCTCCCCAGAGCTCTCTAGTCCCCACCGGGCCCACAGGCTCACCCACGTGCTCCGCCAGGCTGCCCGGACGTGGAGTGGAGACCCTGCCTGCCTTGGCCGCCTTCCACCTCTCCCTCCCGTGTGTGTCAGGAGGGACCTTCTGGAAAGCAATGGCCAAGCTGGTTGGGCCGCATAGCCGCCCGCCCGCCCAGAGTCTTACACAACTCTGCGTCAGTCCTCAGAGGGCAAACATCTCAATCCGTTGTGCCCGAGGCGAGGGAGAAGCAAAGAAGACACGCAGGTAGCAGGTAAGACAAGCTGGGGTGATGCGGAAATGCCCCCAGGCTGCGTGAAGGCCACGGGCAGAAGCTCCAGGAACCACCACTTGCTTCCTGGCACCAACCACCACCGCTTCCAGAAATGGCTGGCCCGAGCTTCCCAAACAGGACAGCCCCTTCTGCTCCAGGGAGGCCCCTGCCACTCAAATGAGGCCCCTGGGCTGGAGGGTCAGCCCGAGGTTCCCCGCTACTTGCTGTGCGGCCTCAGGACAATGCCTCTCCCTCTCTGGGTCACAGTGGTCTCACCTGTAAAATGAGCATGACATCCAAGGAAAAAATGTATAGCATCATCCACTGAGCATGTGATAAGCGGGAAATGCTGGGGCGGGGGGGGGGAGAGAAGGGGGAGAGGGGCACGTTCCGGGAGCTCCTGAAACCCTCCCAGCAGCCCCGAGGCAGGGACTGAGCCGATGCATGTCTCACAGAGGAGGAGACAGTGGCTCAGAGGCCAGGAGGCCCGGTGTCTGTTCTCTCAGCCAATAGGGGGACAGATTTAAGCAGGTCCCCGGAAAGGCATCTGCACCCAGGCCATTTGACACCACACCCTGGGTCCCCTCCGACACAGTCCTTGTCGTGATGGGGACAAGGAGCTCTTGTCAATACCCCAAAAGGCCATCAGGAGTCGAGCCGTTGCCCACAGCGCGGACACACGAGCCCCCCCACGCAGACAGGAGCAGGCCCGAGCCGCGTGAGCTCTGAGGAGTCCTGGCATGGGGTCTCACTCTCCGAGGCTCACTGGAGGCCCAGGAGAGGGGATAATCCCCCCTTCCCCCCCTGAGGCTCATTCTGAGGCCCTAGACTCTG